TATAAAAAAAATAGTTTCGTAAAATCTATATTATGATTTATGCGTATTCAGTTATTGAATAGATTTAATCCCGGGAAATGTAAACAAACTATATAATTTAGTTAACAGTTAAGGTTTAAGCTATTGTCATGAGCCACCCTTTAAAAGTAGTATCTAGGTAGGAAGAAAAGTAGGTACCTATGACATTTTTGACATTGACATATCCTATCAATATATAGGTATAACAAATGATTTAATGATAAAGTTTGACAGCTTGTATAATTTAAAAACGATGTCTATTGTCTATAAAATAAGGTCACAATAACTATCACCATAAAATCAGATATAGGTACTTCCAATTAAGATAATTACAAAAATAAAAATTTAGTTTTAAAAATGAACTTTATTTTCACATCAATTATATGTCAACTAAATAATTCGCGTGCAATAATCTTATCAGATAGTTATAGTTATTTTACTTCAAACTTTTCTAATTTATATAATTTTATTAAACCGTTTGTATGTTTCAAATACTAAAAGTATATGTTATGGAAACTATTTGAATATGTGCATATGTAGGTAATACAGAATTTTAAGGACATAATAAAAACGCTCGTGACTATGTTAAGATGAGTATCTGGAGTAATAGGTACTGTAATAGTATCTATGTGAAGTTATTAAGAGTCTGAAAATTTTTGAAAAATTAAAGAGATTTGTTGTGTATGATATAAAATATGAAAACACAACATTAATATATAATTTAGCAAAACAAAATACCTAAATACTGACCACTGGGACACTTTCAACGTGAATATAACCAATATGTTATAAATTAAATACCTAGGTATATAGTTACATACCAATGTATCTACAATTTCATTATTCAGGTGTATGCCGTTTGTTATTGCAGAATAATGTAATGTAATTTTTATAGGCAGGTACATTTACATTATTGTACAATTAATTAACAGATACAACATAAACATTAACAGATGATTTTTAATGTAGAGTATTTTTTTTTTCAATTTGAATATTTTGTTTTACCAATTTTAATTAGACTAATATACATTATACATAGGTAGGTATTTATTTGTTAAGATATACCTACTAAATTTTTTTTTATAGTAAAACATAAGTGACGTAAGTGTTATAAATACATAATGCCTTAAGTTATTAAATTATTATGAAACAAGTGGATAGTACCTTATTATTTACCTAGTACCTATAACTTTTTTTTATATTTACAATTTTAAATATTATACAACAATTTCCTCATTTTTATATGTATAAAAACTATTAAAATGTTATGTAGGTATACGTTTAAATTTAAACAAATTTTAGTGTAACTACTAAACTACGTATGTTGCCGTTTGCTGTAATAATATGTTTTATCGTGACATCCGATTAGAGGATATTAATCAATTTAAAAATTGGAAAATATAAGGAGTATAATATTGTAAGTCCAGTCTTTGAGCACGCCCGTAGATATATGATAATTGCCACGAGACGTGGCCGTTTCATTAACTTTACTCGACCATTGTATTATAAATTTAGATGTCAGGGATCAAAGGTCTCCAAGGTCTTATTCGTTCAACCGAAGTTTATATTCTATTAACGTCGCTACAATGCAATGTGCGATGGTTTCCGAACCGTAGACTTTTTCTTGTTTATCGCACATTCCGCCGTTGCTATTGCAGCTATAATGAATGTCCTATTTGCGCAATACCCGAACGCCAATAGCTGATATAGTAAGTAATAAGTAATAACTAATAAGTCATGAATATACTTACATTTTTTATCTCTGCGAACACATTGTATTAAAATAATTTTATAATATTATGCAGTGTTTTTCGTGATGTTTTGACGAGTGCCGTTGTATGCACAACTGATTAGTATTAATTATTATCGTATAGTATTTTTAAGCATTTATAAATAAACTACGATATTAACTGGATACCTATTAAGGACTATTCCTTAACGATTATTACGTTACGTACTGTACCGTACGGTCACAATACCTGTGTATAATTTATACGACACAGTAAAGTGTAAACTTAAACGCCTGAAATCGCAACTGAAAATATGACCCAATTGTTCGCACGGCCGAAATGCGAGTATACGACAGTAGCTAGGTACGTTAAAATTGATTTTGTCGAACATTTTGCGTTTGCCTATCATAATATAATATGTGTGAGCATTGAGCAATGAGCTTATTGTTATAGTCACCGGTCATGAACTGCAATGTGCCGTTTCAATATGGCCCTGGAGTCACGGCGTCTTCATAAAAAATATTATTATACCCTGTATACCTACTCGCATTACATGTGATTCTGAAACGATGACCAAATATAACCATGACAAATTGACAACTACATAAATCACCACAGCGCCACTGCACCGTTGACAACGATACGACGTGCCATCACATTTAACGTCCAACATACACATTAGGAGGTATAGATGTTATATATTGACGGCATGCCGAACATATTATTATTGTATAATAATAATATGTACAATACAGTTACAAACGTAACTATTGTACCCAAAAGTTAATAAACAACACTTTAACCAGTGTTATTGTGAAAAGATGAAAGTGTTGTCGAAGAAAAATTAATGAAAAACAATTTTTTTAGTTAACAATTTTACAGACATTTATTTTTTAAATATTGTACACATAAAATATAAAAAGAAGAAAAATACATGTCAGTCAAAGAAGACAGAACATTAGACACGTAAAATATAATATAATAAATATTATAACGTCTATTTTTTATTTTTTATACAAGTAATAAAAGTAAAATAATAATATACACTTATACATAAACATCAAACTTCACAAACTAGATAGAAAAATCTTTTAATTTATAATAACAATGATATAATGTAGTAACGTTTTTTTTAGTATATATAATATATATATATGTAAAATGTATATAACAAATGTTTGGCAGCTCAAAAATGGAATAATTTTGCCTGCCATCATGCGCTTTGAACTTGTCAGTTTTAGACAAATTTACTATTTACTGTAATATAGATTGTCGAAAAATTTTAAGTAATAATTACATAATATTTATAGTAGTGAGCATGGAAAAAGTCCTACCTAAGTTCATTTTCTGTCCTAAAAAATGAAAACACGGGTGTACTCCTCAATTCGTAATACTCTCTTGCCAATAATTGCATTAGACGTTTTCTACCTCGGTGTGTATATTATCATAGGGAAGACGAACCTTTAAAAGACTCTCTGTAGTTATTATCTTTATCAGCTATTAAGAGTTATATAATGTAGTTTTTGCAATAATCGTCAGAGGGCAGACATAACTCATATTTGATGGTGAACTTATAGGCCAGAACTCAATATATTACAGAAGATATAAATGGTAACAATAATTATTTGAAATGTTTATTTACTATAGGTACCTGCTTTACCTCTTTTACCATACCAATATACGATATTGAAATATTGTCTAGATCAGTAGGTATTATAGAAAACAGCTCAATTGAAAATATTATTGAGACGATGTAATTATGTATTAATTAGTAAAGAAAATATTATGCGCAGACACCGAGTGATGAAATGTATTATGGTAGAAAATAGAGACATATAGTATAATATGAACTGAATATAATATAAACCCATTGAGCGATTTACCATTTGTTGTACAAACGTTCGTATACAGATACAAAAACAAGCTATTATTATCGTATAATACAAAAAACACGATTAACTTACAAAATGACAAAATGTAAGACACCAATGAATGAATAAAAAAATAAACAACATTAATTATTTTATACTTACAGTAAAACACCTTAACAGTAAGTTGTTAAATAATTGTTAATAATTTTCAGCGTTTTTTTATTTAAATTTAGAAATTATATAAAATGCTTTTACCGAAGAACAAGTAGGGTGTTAACAGAAACAGATTTACAAAAAATTTACTAAACCTAATTTTGGGTAATTTACAGGAAAATATGGGGAAAAATAAATAAAACGAAGTATTAATTCTTTTTTTTGTGTATACAAAAATATGTCTTTTAAATTTTATTAATTTTATAAGAAAAGAATTCGTACCGTTTTAGCCTTCAAATTTAAATTTGTCCATAAAATAAAATTTTAAAAGAAATACCAGTAAAAATATATGTTGGAATGCAAAACAGGCATACCATAATAATGATAAAATTGAAAATTACAGTAATATTGATAAAAAGCAAATAAAATAAATGCAAAAGATAAACTAGTACATACTAATTATGCTAAAAATAAAAACCTGGGATATTCTAAAGCCCAACAGTGTATTTTAGCAAGGAATGTATTCGTGCATTATATTTTAATCATGGTTTAATCAGGTACTTCGATGAGTTTGATTCCTCGAACCGACACAACTGCTATAAATCTGGAAACCAGGAGCCAATTAATATTAAATATTATTTCACACAACATGAGAAACACGGCTTAACTACGGAATACATTTCTAAATATTACGAATTCACCTATTTGGATTGACAGATTTGTACGATTCACATATTAGTGAATAAATAATACCTATTGCGTTGTCAGATGTTATAAATCCTTACTACTTGAATAGTACTCAAACAGATTTAAATTACTCTACGATGGCGTACACTACATTCAAGATGATCCACATTGAAGTTACAAATCGTGTAGCACCAATAATTATTATATATAGTTATGTCCCTGTTTTGATTTTGGCGACTTCATTGCCGACGGTATAAATACTCTGTGATCCAATTATAATGATAAGATAGGAATCGTAAGATGGAGTGACTCGTACATTGGTATATTGTAACTAAACATGGTAACAGTGGTTTCTTCCGTGCTCACCTTTAGGTTGTAAGCACTCTTGCGTATGAAGAATAAATAAAAGGAAATAAATAAAGACATATTTGTATACATGCGTCTACATGTGACCAGTGTCACCTGTTTGGAATCCCATGTGATGCATATGCTGTTGTTGCGACGATCCTTGCTGCTGATGCTGCTGTTGTTGCTGTTGTTGTTGCTGCTGTTGTTGCTGCTGCTGCTGCTGCTGTTGTTGTTGTTGTTGTTGTTGTTGTTGTTGTTGTTGTGCTAGAAGTGCCGCCATTTTGGTTTCTTTTTTCGTCCGTTGCTTCAAGTGAACCTTTGCGTGTCTCTTTTTTTCGTCGCTCCTTGCGAACTTACGACCACACACGTCACATGTAAACGGTTTCTCGCCAGTGTGCGTTCGAATGTGTGTCGTAAGATGATCAGATCTGGAGAACGATCGCATGCATATACGACACTGGAACGGTTTTTGGCCCGTGTGTATACGGATGTGCCTTGTAAGTTCATCCGATCTGGAGAACCGACGGTCACAATGCTCCACCGGACATGCATATGGTCTCTCGTGCACCGGCGTCTTGCTAGGTCTGTTTGGGTACTTCCGAGGTTTCACCGGGACTAGCTTCAGTGGTAGTGATGACTGCTGGTACACTTGCGATAGTATTTCGTGTCCTTTGCTTGTCGATGGGTTATACTCAGCTAGCTGGACGCTGTAGCCTCCCTGCGACACGCTCGATGAACCTGGGGACTGAACGTCTACGTTTACCACGTTTGTGAACTCTTGTTTGGGAATCATTTGTTGTTGTTGTTGAGATTGTAATTGCTGTTGCTGTTGTTGTTGTTGCTGTCCACCGTATTCGACCGGTGAGTCCAACCAATGGTATTTATTCACTGGCGACGACTGTTGTTGCATCATTTGACCACGGTTATGGTATATGAGATCTTGGTCATTTCCAGTCACTCCGCAACTGGCGTACGTAGGTGGTGCTTGTTTACCACAGTCGATACTCATTCCAAGCAATTCTACTTGACTCTGTTGAGATCTGTCTTCGTAGTGAGGACTGGAGCTGTGGTATGAGGTGGGCGTGCTCGACGGTTGAGGTTGGAGCAGGTTGAATAAAGGTGGAAAAATATTCTTGTCTGGGCTAGGCAAAAGCCAAGAAGTGCTGAGGTGGTTGTTGTTATTGTTATTTGAGGAACTAGTTGAGCACGGAGCTGTTTGCATAGGACTATTCGTGGAGAACCTATAGCTGATCCTAGACTGCCCTGGTGGTATGCTGGAGTTAGTTGTGTACATGACGTCCTGACCGGCATCGTCCTGTTCCGGTTCACCTCCGATGGCTTCTGTTTTTAATTGAAGAGATACCTCTAGCTTGTGTTCTATACCACTTCTATTGCTACCATTTTCGTCAGTATCTTGCAATGATCCTAAAAAAAAAAAAATCATCATATATTATTTATATTGTTAATACTATATTATATTACGTCTTATAACAGTTTATCGTGTTTTTACACTTCGCAAAAGAATCATATTGGTGTAAAACTAAATAGTTTAAAAACAACTTGTGACACGTGTCAGCCGGTGATTATTTTTTGTATAAAATTTGGATTTCTGCCACCATTCCACATTATACATTTATACGTTTAATAATAACTACGTGCTAGTTACTACGGCACTACTACTACGGAACGAGATACAAACACCAAAATTTCACTGATTGCTGCAATCCATTACCAGGTCCTACCTTTATATTTATTTCAGCCTGCACACATTTTCGTCAGTTTTAGTTACATTTCTTAATATTATTATATTTATTTGTAGAGCCACACACTATATTCTATCATTTTTCAACGCTAATCAATACACATGATAATTAAATTGTCATCAAAAAAAAAAAAAATATTATTATAATGTGATACGCTGTATATTTATTGCTATTATGTCTATTATTTTGCTATATAAAGTAGTGGGTGGCATAAAAGAGGAAACTGTATAATACAGAATGAAATGAAATAATTATTATATGCGATAAAAAATTTTTTAGCCGGAATCAAAATTTATCGATAATCTGTTTTTTTTTACCTTATCGAATTTTTGATAAATATTCACAGTCGATGAATAATATTTTTGGACTTCAGAATTTATAGATGCTGTGTATACGACTGTTTGTGGTTTTTAACGTGTGTCACATATTTTTCGGATTATCTCGACGGCGACGACAACTGGTTTATGCTGATGGTGAATTTGTTACTTTTTTCTACATACTTTTTATTTTTTATTATTCTATCGTCTTTCTAACCCATTCTAAACTATGTAACCATTGCAACGTACGTACATTATGATGTTGAGCACGTATACATAACTGAAGACCTTATTAGAGGCATTCGTTAATCCGTGAAAATCCCGTATACCTACTCGGTATAATGTTATATAAAGATAGAAATAGTAATAAAAAATCTTTTTTCTGAGCCAAATATTTCAGTTTTTTTTTTCTGCATCCAGGGCTACGCAAACACTTAAACCGTTGTTGAGTTATTATTATTATTAATGTTTTTCATAAAGCAACGGAAATGAAACGGTCGTGGTTTTATATTAAAACTATATACACTAATAACGTGAACAATAAATAACGATTGTAATTGTTTGAACATTTATTTTATATATTATATTAAAACAACGCAGATCAAAAATAGAGAGAGACCATAAACAATTACAACTTCTGATCAATGTTTATATTAAGTAGTTTTTTTAGTATCACGTTATATTGTTATTTATACATTCTTCTGAGACCAAAAAAAAAAAAAAAAAAATAAAAAAAAAATATAAAACAACTGACCCAGTGGTTTGTAGACTATTGGGGATCACTATCAAGGCACCACATGCTGAGTGTTTAACTTTGGTTTTTTATATAAATATATACGAGTATAAACAACAGTGCCACAAACTAGAATATATTATTTTTATGAAAAATATTAACGTGCGTATATTATAATGTAGTGTTATAAATCGTCTGGTAAAACCATGGGATGTCGAGAGAAAGCAAATGCCGTGACATTTTTTCTAGTTGGTTTGAAATTTTTTGAAAAAAGTAAAAACAACATTAGACGTCAGATGTTTTTGCCGCCAACGATTAGCGTAAGTGAGCTTATCCAACACTTAATACTTCACATTTAGGTACATAATATACTCTTTACTCTTAATACATATTATAGGCACACATTTATTTATAGGGTTTATTAATTGCAATTGTTGCGAATGTGCAACGAAAAGGACATTGTATACCTATTGTATTAATATAACTGTTATATATTTTTAGGTTTATATTTCTATAGTGTATTGCAGGTGGAAAATGCGTGAATATGATGTGAATATTGTTGTATTGGTCGACTGCCAGATATTAGACGAGGTATGTTAATATAGTAGGTGCCTATATAAATATTTTTTAATTTTAAAATTAACGTAATTCTCCGGGCAGTAAGAATACGAATTTGTTTGAACTAATGCTTCTATATAATTTCCCAATGTTTATTCAAAGATCTAAATAAACAAATTCTAGTCGTAAAAAAAATAAAAATGTTTAAAAGCAAAAGTTTTTAGACATGCCATAAAGCCAGCCACTTGGCGATAAATGTATGCTTTTCACATAATATAGCCGCATGGTAATTAATACTTATGTTGGAGCACGCGGATTACACACGGAATTAATTTACGCAATCGAAAAATATTAATTTATTGCATAAGTTTAAGAATTCTATTGGTCGTAAACTCGTAACCGAACGGCCGGTACACGGCAACGCATACCTAGGTACCTAATACCTATACAATTATGGAGGCGGTGGGCTGAATACGCTTTATTTATACACAGCCACATAGGTGTTATAATTCAGACGATCGTAACGCAAAATCGATGGATGTACTTTCCGCGTATATAATACATACGTTTTCAATGCTTATAATATTACAACTTGTATTAATATTATGTATTAGGATCGCCGAAAACAACGCCGTGATCGTGTGATCTAAAAAAAGACTATACACTGTAATGATATTACCTATACGATCAATTATGTGTAATAAAATATGTAGTACTTTTATTTTTTACCGAGTCGCAAGCGGTCGTAATAAAAAGTGAAATCATTCGCATCAAATATATACATAACGACAAACGACCTCGTCAGTTGGTTACACGGGGGGTCGGTTACTCGAGGGTTGTGAGTGAACGCGGTGGGTGGTGAGGTTTAAGTCTGGGCAGGAAGAATATTGATTTCGACTTCATCGCATAACAAACTTCCAGGAAAAGCAATTTATAATGTACGCAAATTGTAACAGAGTGAAATATTTTTTCTGTCAAATTTCCACACACATATATTGGTACCTATATTTGTTATATATTATGTACGACATGAGACACACCACGCCATGTCAGCGATACCTAATTAACGTCACATCACGCCGAATATATCGCAACTCATTTTCCTCAAGTACCTGGGTAGTTAATTGTGTATATAATTTATACGTATACCTATATTTAAGTCCATCGGTCCATATCGATCTTTCTCTTCAGACTCCTCCTGGCTTTTACCTGACCGTCAACTCACGACTACGCCACTCATTCAACGATTCATCCCATTCATGTGGAGAGGGGCAACCAATACCACTATAATATTCCGTTGTAAAATATTTAAGCCTCTTTCACACGGGACGGCTGGTATTGATCCACCGGCAGTGGCGGTTCGCACGCAATGCCACGGCCACCACCCTCTAGATCGCGCTCGAAACGCACACATACCACAGCATTCCTGGTAAGTCCATTCAACTTCTGTCCCCCACAACCCCTAATACCCCGCTCCACCACCAGAGAAAATTCAATCCCGCGCAAGCGTTCCCCGGAGCGTTGGATCACCAAACGCCTATACGTAATGATATCTTATACCCACGCGACGGTTTTTTTTTTTTTGTATATAATATTAGTATCAATAGATTTTATTTCCAACATTTAACGTGCGCACATTTATTTATACAGACAGGTTGAAATTAAAATACATGTCTGTAAGTATAAGCCACGTGAGAGAGTTGTGAAAATGTATAGCCACGCTGAGTTGCAGTATATACCTATATATAATATTTCATCTACGTATATTGGTGCTGTGGGGTGGAAACGAGAGGGAAATATATTTCATTCACCTTCCTGGCGTGCCGAGGTCACCGCGAAATCGATGAACGACTACCAGCGCGGGAGGGTCACTGACACGGGGTTGTTCAGGGGGTTATGGAAATTGTTTTCACATAATATTTCATTCATGTATACAATATGAAACGGAGAAACTACTATATACTGCCATATAGTCCTTACAATTTAATTATTATTTATAACCACGGGATAACTATACTGCACGTTATGTTATAATATTAGAATTAATGTTATAATGTAAATTTCAAGAAAATGTATATTGTATAATGCGAAATTTGTCATATAAAATAATTATTAATTATTAACATTTTGTAAGTAGGTACTTTCATTTTTATTTACCTATAAACTTAATTTATTTTGCATAGATAATAATATTATGTGTTTAGTATTTACTTCCACTATTTTTGATAGAAAATAAGGCTTAGTGAATGTGCAACGATTTAAAAAATAATAAATAATAAAAATATTAAACTCGGAAAAGTGTTGAAACTGGCCCAAAAAATAATAAACAATACAATTTATTAATCTCTGAAAAATTTTGGAAAAAAACGAACTTCTAGTCGAATGTACCTTATACCTATTTAAACATTTCTAGTCTAACACCTTCTTCTAATCTCTATACCTACCATAATAATATAATATAATGTTTTATAACATATTTAAATTCGAATTACAGGTTAGGACGGGTACCTGTTATGAGTGGCGGTTCTACGACTGTGGATGGGCCGAAAAACGAAGGTACTTCGGCGCTCGTCGTGACGGGCGTGTTGAGATCGGTGCCGGCGTTTCCCTGTGCTGGGCTGTGGCACGCTGAGTTACCGGTGCCGTGTCCACCGTTGCCCACGTGTCCACCCGTGCTGGTGGCCACGCCGCCCTTGTACGTTTCGAAGCTGAGCACGTTAAAGTGTCCAGCGGCAGTGGTGGCCGTGGTGACGGCAGCCGCAGACTCGGCCAACAAGTACGGGTGGTGATGATGATGATGGTGATGGTGGTGATGCGCATGATGGAGAGGCCCGACGCCTGGCTCAAGGGCACTGCACTCCATGATCATATCGGCTTCGGGCTGTTGTTGGTGCTGCTGGTGCTGATGCTGCTCCGGGACACCTACGGCACAAGCGTCACGCCGATCGCAATTATTATTAACAGTGCCGTTACTGTTGTTGTTGTTGTTGTGGTTGGTGGTGGTGGTGTGGTTGTCGTTCGCGGTACGATCGGCAACGGGTGCGCGGTCTTTCGGATCAATTATTGGGCACGGTGGCGGCGATTCTGGCGATTCGACCAGCTCGATGTCGTGGAACGGGTACCAATCGTCCGGTGGCGGCGACCACGAGCTGGGGGCCAGGGGCACGCGGATCACGCACCTGGACAGTGCCAGGCCTGAGCTGGGGGGGTTGACGCGTTCGGTGACAAAAACGGCGACGAGCGAATAAAGTTTTTTTTAGTAATCGTAAGTCCAGACGATGACCGACGGTGCGTGCATCAATGCGGTACCGTACACTTATTGTGTTGTAATAATAAAATATTAATAATACAAACTGTGTCAAGAAACAGCCGACGTTCGGGTTTTTGAAAAACCAAAATTTCTTTTTTTCTGAACACTCGATGTGATATCAATACACCTAGAAAATGTATTATAGGTAGGCGTCGATGATATAATAATATTATAATTTATAACAATAGACGGGGGCTCGCGCACTCGACGACGACGGTAAATAGAACGCGCGTTTCGTCGTTACTGCGATAGTACTGCGGCAACGCACATGACTGGGGCCGCTGCACTTGCACACACACACAAACAAAAACGCAAAACGCACACGCACACGGTCACGCACACGCACGTGATGCTGGCGCCGGTCGACTTGTTGAACTGAAGGCGCGCGCGGCGCGTGTGTCGGGATACGCGGCGGCCGTACACACTGAGAAAGAGCGCACTGCCCACACCGCGGCGCGGGGCGACGTATAAGCGTCGGTTTTATGAATGAAGCCCGTCTCTGTCCCATATATGGCAACGAGCGCCGGCGGTGGCGGTGCGGAGGAGGCCGGGCGGACGGCGGCACCACGGACCAATGGCAGCGCGCCCGTAACGGTGACGTCGGCGTGACGTCACTCGCCGCAGACGACCTGCCGTACACGCACGAACCGCCGACACCGCCACCACTACCGCCGGAGATGGTGGTGGTCGCGGTGGTGATGGTTGAGATGGTGGTGGTGGTGGTGTTTCGGCGATTGGTGTCTCGCCGGTGGTGGTGGGGAGGGCGAGGATTTCGCGATCCCTCCCCACCACCACTACGGGCGTCGCGCCCCATCCAACCCCCCATCCCCCCCTTAAAGAGTCGAGTCGTAGAGCGAAACCCTCCGACGACGCGGCGTCGACGTCCCTACCGCGCTGTACCTACATAGTAATATTATAACGTCGTTTTGGATTTCACTCGTTATAATAAAATAATAATAATATATTACATCGTATTTATTAGGTATAATATTAGTGTGTCGTTTTATTTCTCTAGTCGCCGTCGATTGAGTGCGCAGTTTCAAAAATCGTTATTATTTCTCATCGTGACGTCTTACATATTATAATATATTATAATAATGTCATACGATGTACCTACCTATAATAATAATAATAATAATATATCACCATTCACCACACGATATTATGTCGACTGGGTGTATCCTCTTACGGACGCTGTCTTATTATTATTATACACATCTGATCTCCGGTTTACATTTTTATTATTTGTTGTTGTGATTTATTTATATTATATATTATAAACCTTTACCTATATACCTACTACAACAGTATACAACTGACAACAGGGCCCTTACAAGATGGGGGGGGGGGGCTGTTGGGACCTGGAGTTCAGAGGCCCGGATATTTTAGGAGCCTGTTGAAATAAATTTGTAATATTTAGAATTTTGAAATTTTAAAGGGAATACTTATTTTATATTAAATAATATTTTATAGTGCCTTAAAAAAAATGTAGTACAGGGGCCCACAATTTGATGAGGGGGAGCTGCTTATAACGAGCCTATCTAATATAATATCGATAGCTATTATGTACGTGCAGTTTAAGCCCCAAACACCAAGAAACCGATTTCTCTTAAACAGCAATATTTCAGTGTAGCCGTGTAGGTATTTATGTATAATAACATAAACCTCATCTAATAGTCCGATATTCAGTCGGAATATAATTATACAAATTATAAGTGATGCTGCAGCTCTAATATCAGTCGCAAATTAATAGAAATTATTATAAATGGCGTCTATAAACAAATACAATGATGCTGGAAATGTCCTAGATGCAGGTAAATAATATATATAATAGGTATGTAAGTATTAAATGCAACTGTTTGAATCTATTTTGTAAAAGCATGATATTGTATGTACATTGTACCTAATCAAAGATTATATCAGTAAGATGTAAATGTAATATATGTATGTGTACCGATATAACTATGAAAGTTAAAAAATGAAATGTAATTTGAATACATATTATATTAAAATAAGAAGAATTGAAGCTACAATAAATACAATTCCTTAATTTTGCGATCCTCTAAATATTTTAGTGGACATTTGAAGGTTAGATGACAATATATAATAGTATATAGAACCTTCGGTTTTTAATTCAAGACTTTATATTGGCGCACAAGTTGATTGTATAAAGCGAGTTTCAGGGACTTACTAACAACTTAGTACTTAAAAACTCAACAATATATTGACCTATATTGAATAATTTATTAATAAAAAGGCTTAATATCTATACATATATACCAGATACCTACCTAATACATGCGTCTATATCTATATATATAATGTATATATATATATATATAAATACAGTTCAATAAGTACGCTTATGTCGTGTTCTTTCATACACTTTTGAACTTTTCATAGATTACATTCGTATATATAGTCGGTCGAATAGTGATTCAATAGTTAAGTGAGCATTACTATAAAAATCGATAGAACAATATGTATTAAAAATTAATAAGTATATACGATTTGAGTATTTGAACTGAATCACCAAATTTTACATTAAATATTATTTTACAAAAATACGAAGTATAATGTTGTATATTATTATATAAGGTAGGTATACTAAATATAAACTATAATTGTATATAATAATAATTATGAAAATTATAGGTAGGTAAATATTAAAAATATGCTCGGTCGTATAGGTAATTAGGTTATGGCCCAAAACTAATAATTATTTTTATTTTTGACCATCGACATTGTATTTTTAGCAAAGGCAATGTTCTTTACAAAAAAAAAGTACGAAACATCTTTTAAATGTGTAGGTACCCTATACACTATTGAAAACTTTTTACAAAACGTCTTTGATAATAATTAATAAATAATATATATATTTTTTGAATTTTTTATTTTCGTCTTTTTTCTGACAGATATTCCTGTGCTCTACGAATGACGTAGATAGCTATATAGTTACTCGTAGGTTATTTATATTATCAAAAATAAACGATGTGGGTTTCCGGTGTCATTTCAAAGAAATCTCATCATTACTCGGTACAATTAAAATTGAGTACATGTGATGTCTTGAAAAATAAAATAAAAATATTTTTAGTAAAATACCATAGGTAGGTACACAGAAAAATACGATCTAAAAAAATGTCTATACTGGCATTGAACTACGAAATACATAGAACCATAAGTTTATATTTATTGAATTTCAGTGCATGAAATATGAAGTGATATAGTAATTATTATATTAACTACGTAAAAAATTAGAATATTAGTCCGGGATAAATATAGGGTGCTATTGTCACACACTCACACGTATATATCCATAGTAATATACATAATATTGTATAATGATATGATATAAACTTTCCTATAAAAAATAAATAGTAATACCCAGGAAGTCATCGCTCTGCTGTAAAGGTACCCATAATAGGTACTCATGTATCGAATGTAACTCGTCATATATTAGAGTGTAAATATAGGTGATTGTCTTAGGGATGTGTTAAATTAGTAGGTGCTGTATAATAGTTACTCAATGACAAATCGATTCTGATCCTCAGTGCTTAGAATTATATAGATTTTTAAGAATATTTTGGTATAATATATTATACCTAATACCGCAGGAGGTTGAATTAATTTACGCCAAAAATACATCACATAGGTATATTGTATAATAATAAATGAGTAAAATAATATTTCATCTAATATTACAAGGTGTTATTAACTTTATAAGTCAATATACCGACGCGACGTACCGTGCAGAAACGGTGTGAATAGGTTCTGGGTATAAATAACATAAAATTAATCTAAATATTTTGAAAATGTCTTTCTATAAACAAAATAATAATATACGTTATGGCAAAAAGCCAAAAGTTTCAAATTCCTACGAATATTGATTTAGGTACAACAAAATATTAAATCACAAAATCGTTATTTTTCGTTTTAATATCCAATTTCTACAAAATTTAAAAAATAATTACTTAAGTGCAATATATGTTTTTTTTAAATTTTTAGGTTTTTGTAAGAAAACCGTATACGAGAAAAATTGTATGTACCTACCTATATAATTTTCAAACTTTAAAGATACATTTTGTACATTTTTAACCACAAAATAATTTATATATTTAAGTTTTTTTTTAAAAATTTTGTAAAAATTTAAATTTTTATAGAAAAAAATGATGTATTTTTTGATATGAAAAAAAATAATATTCATTGTAAAACCATCGCATCATCGGATCGCTCATCAGAATCTAAACAATTTTAAAATTTGAATCACTTAGTTAAAATATTTTACTCATTATTATTAGGTAAACGTTAACTCTTATTTACCTACTTAAAATATAGTAAGTTTTTGAATAGAATAATAGAAGTATGAAATATGAATAGGTACCTATAAACTATACATCATATTATAAATTATATTTAATATTATTATAGTTCTATTGCTATACAAAGTGATCAAAATAATGATTTATTAAATTGCTGGATAGTTTAGTTTTATGTAAATAATAATAGGGTTTCTTATTTAATTGGAAATTTGATACAATTAAAATTCTATTAAGACTAAAATCAGTGAAATATTATACTATTATTATACATTTAAAATAAAAATCTAAAAGAT